AAATATTTGGCATGCTAAATATCTGGAGCTGTCTGCGATTCACAATCACACTGTGTGCAATGATTTCTGACTGAAAACTACATCGGCGATGACCTACAGCCAATGAGAGACCAAGATACAGGGCAGAGGGAAGTTCGGGGAGGAGTTATAGACCAGAATGTCAGTATTTTAATAGCTATATGAACAATTATATCATACAGAAACAGAAATAACATCAGCATAACATTTACTGCAAAATTATTTACCTCCAACTCTCTTTGCAGAACACCCAATCCCTGTTCCCTGCATCTCCCTCCTGCATAATCTGTTTTTCTTTTTCTCCTTGTAGCTGGAAATCAGCTCACAGACAATTTGCGGGCTATTTATATATTTTATATATATATTTAAAATAATTACAGTCTTGCTTGCGAGAACTCCGGTCTGACGCACGCGGGTTCTGGCGTTATTTCCTTATCACTTCTCACGTGTGTTTTGTTGTGAATCGTAGTTTGCGGACCAGACAGAGCTGTCGGCGATTCTCCCTATTGTGAAGTCATGCGGTGTGAAACCCCCTGTTGTCGATCCATCGTGCAATGTGAACACAGCAGCGACTGACTGCAACCCCAGACACAGACTCACACAGTGTGAAAACAACGGCGATCCGACGAGTTCGAAAATCGTGTTTTCACACTGCGTGACTATCTGGGGTTGCAATCAGTCGCTGCTGTGTTCACATTGCATGACTTCACAATAGGAAGAATCGCCGACAGCTCTGTTTTGCCAGGGTTTCGCTACAAAACCCTCCCAATTACTACTCAAAAGGAGGGGGGGGGGGGTAAATTACACATTTCTTTTGGTGGGGTTCTCCTGGTACAATTCACATTCCAGGGCCTAAATATAAAGTTATTGGGGTTGCTTCAACCTGCTGACATAAAAAAAACAACTGGCAGATTTGGCAACACTGGTCCGCAAACTACGTTTCATATAACTCCTCCCCGAACTTCCCTCTGCCCTGTATCTTGGTTTCTCATTGGCTGTAGGTCATCGCCGATGTGTTTTTCAGTCAGAACTCATTTCACACAGCGTGATTGTGAATCGCCGACAGCTCCAGATATTTAGCATGCCAAATATTTCACGGGCGTCGGCGACGTGTCGGCGATTCCCTCAGATCGCGTCTTTGATAATTAACACTGCGTGATTGTCACTAGCATGAACGAGCACCGATTTGCCTCCGATGTCGGGCATTTGTCGGCGATTTCGCAAAACATGTCGCCGAGTGAAAAATCGGGCTAAAATCATGCAGTGTGAACTCGGCATAAGGCGTACTATTGAAATTTCAAAACGTTTCGAAACAGTTATGACGTAACGAAGCCTCGTTTACTGAAATCACGTGACTTTGGCATTTTGATACGCGCTCCGAACCATTGTTTCGAAACAGTTGATTCGCAAAGGTTTTGAAGTTTTTTGTATTTTTTTGTATACAAATACAAATTTATATAAAAATATTAAAGCGTTTACAAACTTTCACCATTTTAATTGCTTTTTGTTTCATAGAAAATCATATAGTATCAATATAATGCTCCATTTCCTTCCTAAAAGAAAAAAACTTTTATTTTTTGCAGGAGAAATTACATTTGTGAATATGAAATTTTGCATGTAAAAAAAAAAAGATTTATCATGTAAACGTGAGTGTTTTTCTCTGCTATTCTGTAAGACAGTGGTTCCCAACCCTGGTCCTGGAGGCACCCCAACACTGCACGTTTTGCATGTCTCCTTAATCAAACACACCTGATTCAGGTCATCATCTCATTAGTAGATACTCCAAGACAGGGGTGCCCAAACTCGGTCCTGGAAGGCCGCTGTCCTGCAGAGTTTAGCTCCAACTTGCCTCAACACACCTGCCTTCAAGTTTCTAGTATGCCTAGTAAGAGCTTGATTAGCTGGTTCAGGTGTGTTTAATTGGGGTTGGAGCTAAACTCTTCAGGACACCGGCCCTCCAGGACCAAGTTTGGGCACCCCTGCTCCAAGACCTGAACCTGGAGCGTCAGAGAAAGGAGACATGCAAAATGTGCAGTGTTGGGGTGCCTCAAGGACCAGGGTTGGGAACCACTGCTCTAAGACACCAAATAATACATATTTCCAAAACAAAACAAAATGAAAAAACAAAACAAAATGTCAATATTTTGTAGGTTTCGAAGCTTCATGAAGCAGTGTTTCAAAAGCGGCCATCACTAGTCTCCAAGCAACGCGCGGACTGGATCACTGGAGCAGAGCGACAGCAATTTCCCGTCCCCATCCACACGGCCCCCATTTTTTATAGTTCTACTCCCTGCTTGCCAATGAGAGAAACCCACTCTGAGCAGTGTTGCCAAGTACGCGGTTTTCCCGCGGAATTGGGCTACTTTAACGCTGTTGTTTGGGCTGTTTTTCATGTCCGCGGGTTGAAGCGACTCCAATAACATATTTATCCCCTGGAATGCGAATTTTAGCAGGGGAACCCCGCCAAAAAACGTGTATTTTACCCCCTGGAACAGATTTTTGAGCTAGTTTTAGGTAGCAATTGGGCGGGTTTTCTTGTGAAAACCTGGCAACCCTGACTCTGAGCAATAATGAAGCTCGAACAAATGTATTTCTTACTACTTGATAATAAAACCCCTTTATATTTACATGGAGTTGGCCTGTTTTATGTTTGTCTTCTGATGTACTGATTTGGTTTATTTTTCAACAGAGGAACATATAGCGAGTCCAGAAGAGCGTTTAAACTGAGGGATTCACCTGATCCGATGCGAACCGATCCCAGCCCGCAGGGAGGGAACGGACTGACATTAACCCTGCAGCCGGAGCTGCTCGCCCGAATGCCTGGAGCTGGAAGTTCCAGCGGGCCGGAATCAGACGAGGATGTCCGGGTTCCTATAGGTAGCTCACCGGGGTCCACAACTTCCCGCTGCCCTGTATCTTGGTCTCTCATTGGCTGTAGGTCATCGCCGATGTGTTTTTCAGTCAGAACTCATTTCACACAGCGTGATTGTGAATCGCCGACAGCTCCAGATATTTAGCATGCCAAATATTTCAGGGGCGTCGGCGACGCATCGGCGATTCCCTCAGATCGCGTCTTTGATAATCCACACTGCATGATTGAACGAGCACCGATTTGCCTCCGATTTCAGGCAGTTGTCGGCGATGTGGCAAAACCTGTCCGCGAGGTTAAAATCGGGCTAAAATCGTGCAGTGTGACCTCGGCATAACTGAACCTGTAATCTAATCTGATTTTATTTCTCTCTCTCTTCTTCGTATACAGTTCACTATATTGCAATCATTATCTATCATGTATTTTGTATGTTCTACAACTCATGTAAATTGTGAATTGTATGTATGCATATACTGGATCTGTACTGTAACGTACTTGCTGCTCTCCCTGCTCTGTCCAAGCAATGACTGCATGGACAGGCGTGGGGAGTTTTGCCCAGAACAGAACCAAACCGCCAACACTAACTGTATGCTATAATTGTAATAAATATGCTTTGATGAAGTGGACCTCACTGAAGTATTATTTTTTTAAATCGTACTTACCCCAAACATTTGAATGGTACGGTATTATGGTTTCCACAAAAAAAAAAAAAAAAAAAAAAAATATATATATATATATATATATATATATGTGTGTGTGTGTGTTAACATCGATAATAAAATTGTCGAATTGTCACTCTGAAGCTGGAGTAACGGCTGCTGAAAATTCTGCTTTGCCAGGAATAAATAATATTTTAATTACAATAGAAAAGTTGAAATTGTAATACAATTTCACACTATTGTTTTTACTGTATTTTTGATCAAATAAATGCGGCCCTGATGAGCATATGAGACTTCTTAAAAAAACATTAAGAATCCAAATGTAGTGTATATAGGCTAATTTATTTGAAGTTTTATCAATTAATTGTGATAAAGGCTAATCATATTTATTTTCTCAAGGATGGAGAATGAAGAAGCCTCAGAAGATGTATTGGACTCTGTAGCACATTCACTGAAGGGCTACCCCTTCTCCTATCAGGGAGCTCGTATCATTACGGGCCAAGAGGAGGGAGCTTTCGGATGGATTACTGTCAATTACCTGAGTGAAAACTTGAGAAAGGTATGGTGGTTTTTAAACCTGGGTTTAGCATTGTTTCAAATTTGTAATTTTCATTTGTAATTTTTAACTCAAACCCCTTCTCCACAGAAGGAATGAACATTGAAACAATTTCAATGTGAAAAGGCCAATGGTTAATGCCTCCTGTGTTTATCATGCAGCCCACAGGGACTCTTGGAGCTCTGGACCTGGGTGGAGCGTCTACTCAGATAACATTCGTACCTCAACAGGAAATTGAATCACATGACAATTCTATTAACTTCAGGCTGTACGGAAATGATTATCACCTGTACACCCACAGCTTTCTCTGTTACGGGAAGGACCAAGTTCTCAAGCTTTCTATGGGCAAGAAATTAGAGTCAACACTTAAAGATGATGTGGTATGCTTGTCATTGCAATTGAAGTTGTATAGATCAGGGGTCTATAGGAATGTATACTTATTCTATCAAATTAAGTGTTGCATTGAAGCAATATTGCACTGTAGAAACAGTTTTCAATGCTAGTAAATATAAATATATTTACTAGCAAATATAGTATAATGTATTATATTAAATATCACAAATAATTACGAAGAATCAGCAAGGAACATTAGATTAAATGTGAAATTTTGAAGCAGAAAGACACTATAAAAAAAATTTACATAATATATGTGTGTGTACTGTGTATATATTATGTATATATAAATACACACACATACAGTATTTCAAAAATATTTACATGTATTTGCATGTACATATTTACATTCATTATTATGTAATTATGTAATATATATTATATTACAACTCAGAAAAATCATTCTTGGCATGTGTGTATGATAGTACCATATTAATGCATTTACTGCACATACTTTATGATGCTTACTTTGCAAATCTATTAAAATTATTATTTTTGCTATCATTGTTAAATTTTACAGAAAAAGAATAGTTAATGGCAATAAAACATTTAACTGGATTTTAGCTTCTCAACTTTAGCTTTGATTAAATTTAACTATTGCATTTTTGTTTAATACATATCTAAAGATATAGAGCACACTTATACAATTGTATCTTATATTTTTAAATGTTTTTTCTTCCCTAAGACAGACCCTGTTGAGTTAAGGGATCCTTGCTTTCACCCTGGATTTAACTTCACCAGGACAGTTCAAAGTGTCTTCAATACACCGTGTATGAAAGAAGTGAAAATGGCAAATGAAAACTTCTTCCATTTAGGGATTGGGGATTGGTCTCAGTGCCAGCAATCAATCAGAAAGGTTTTTAAAACCAGCTTTTGTCCTTACTCAAGATGCTCTTTCAATGGTGTTTTCCAGCCTTCTGTCGATGGAGACTTTGGGGTGAGAAACAATGAAGATTGCTTGTTTGTAAGAATTTGAATGGCTGGTTGTAAGTCATAACTAGTGATAATGATTATGGCATTTGACTCTCTAGGCATTTTCAGCTTTCTTCTTTGTGATGGACTTTTTGAATCTGACAAGTGATACTTTAGCGGGTACAAAGCAGAAGCTAGCAACGTACTGTTCTACACCATGGAAGAAGGTGAAATGCTTTTTTAACCGTTTTTGAAGGATGTTAAAACCGGTTGCATCTTTGTTGGGGCATGATGTCTAAATGTATACTTTTTTTACTTTTGTAGATTACAGAAAATCATCCCAACACAAAAGAGAAGTACCTTTCAGAATACTGCTTCTCAGCAACCTACATTCTCACTCTTCTGGAAGACGGATACAAATTCACTTCTCACAACTGGAAAGACATCAGGTTCATTAAGAAGGTGAGCATGGTATAAATTAAAATGTTACATTATTTCTCATTAAATGTATTTGGACACGTAAGTCACACTGAAAATGTATGAAACATTTTACATGCAACACAACAATTTAAAAATTTTAGATGTTAGATGCTATGTAGGTTAAAAAGAAAAAGCAATATATATATTGTTCAAAAATAAGTATTTACAAACTTTGTGAAATAAAATACAATTACAATAATTTCATTTTAATAATTTAATTATTAAATAACTGAATACTTTTATTTTGGGGCCAATGTATATAGAAAATAATTGAGAATATTGTGTCAACCACTCTTTATGTGCAGATAGGAGACAGTGATGCAGGCTGGACATTAGGTTACATGCTTAACCTGACCAACATGATCCCTGCTGAAGCTCCAGACATGCCGCTGATGCCTTATGGAGGATACGTCACATTTATGCTCCTCTTCTCACTTCTAATACTTCTTCTTCTTCTTCTGGCCTACATGTATTTCCGTCGGTCAACTAGAACAGCCCAGAAAGACATCATTTAGACAGGGATATTATGGTCTCTATATATCGAATGTTTATTTCTGCAGTACAACATTTTGATAAATCCAAAATCACATTTTAACTTGATTTCAAAGGTTTTACATTTCAAAGAATTTGGAAATCATACCTCATGTGAAGGATTAACAGGTTTTTGGAGAGAGATGGGTTACAAGTTCCACTGCGACTGAAGGGACATCAGACTCTTTTCCCATTCCTTTGTGCTTTTTGTGACCACTCAAATTTTTTCTTTAAAAAGCAAGTCATGAGTACAAGTTTAGCTTTTGGGGTGCTTGGTGAAAGGGGTTGTTTATGTTCCTTAAAAGCAAATGTGCACTGACATTCAATATATCATGTGCCTTTAGTCTTTAATAAAGTTTCCCATTTTATGTATCGAAAAGCACACGTCATCTTGATGCCACTATATATATATTTTTTTTTACTTATTATAAAGTAATGTCTGTGAGGTAAAAGCTCTCTAGTTGTATACATTTTTTGCATTATGGTAATATGAAAATCACTGGATATCATTGTTTAAACATTGCTTTTAGCAAAGCACATTTTTTAATGAATTGCAAAATAGGGGACCATTTTGTTAGGTCTGTCATTGTGAGCTTCTTTCCCACCCCCACCCCCTTTCTGTGCTTACTGCGAGTTAAAATAATCCTTTGTCCTAAGAACAATAATGTCTGCTTTTATAAGGCACATTCTGTATATGAAATCCCTGTGTATGGCTCAAAAGTGATGTGTAGAATTATGAAAGATTCAGTTTTTATATATTTAAACAATACCTGTAGCAAATTTCTATTAAAATGACAAATGACTGATTGTGTATATGTTTTATTTATAATACATAAATGCATGTTTTTGAAATAAGTCTCTTATGCTCACAAAGGCTGCATTTATTTGATTAAAATACAGTAAAAAGAGTAATAATATAGAATATTATTATAATTTAAATTTTTTTAAATTGTATTTATTCCTGTGAGTACAAAGCTGAATTTTCAGCAGCCATTACTTCAGTCTTCAGCGTCACATGACCCTTCAAAAATCATTCAAATATGCTGATTTGTTGCAAGTAATTTTTCATTTCAAAAATGAAAACTGTTGTGCCGCGTAACATTTTTGTGGAAACAGTGATGCATTTATTTTCAAGATTCTTGGATGAGAAAGTTCAAAATAACAGAATTTATTTGAAATAGAAATAGACTTTTGTAAATGTATACATTTCTACTGTCACTTTTGATCAGTTTAATGTGTCCTTGGTGATTAATAGATTTATTTATTTTAATTTATTGACCCCAATGGTCATTTTTAAATGATTGTTTGTGTAAATATGAACATTTATATCTATCCATATATATCTATCCATATATATATCTATCTATCTATCTATCTATCTATCTATCTATATTTTGAAATTTAATCTTTTGTAACATTATAAATGTATTTATTGCCTTTTGATCAATTTAGCTGAATAAAAACATTGATTTCTTATACATTATTGATGATATACTTTTGAACGGTAGTGTATATAGGATTATTTTATCATATTATACGTTTATACTTAATTTGAATTAATCACATGCAGCATAAATACCCAGATTATTAGTGCAATTGGAAAGCTATTGAGGTGATTGTGAAAGTGTTCAAAAGGCTGCTGCCTTTACTTTTACTCTCTAACTGTGTAACATTAAAGTGTCACATTGCTAAGTATAATGAGAACAATATGAATATGATTGCAGCTCCTTCATAATTGAGCTGCTGCACTGAGTTCATGAAGGTTTATGAACAGACTGGAAATCTACAAGCGAATCTGTGCGGTGGCCTGCTGTGTCACTGCTCTTTATCCCCTCATACCGCCATTATACCGGCCCACCGCTGTTTACCTTTATCCTTTCTCCCGCGTGAAAAGGTCCGCCTGTCATCGACTCTGCTGAAATGTGTCCCCACGGCACGTTAAACGGTGTTTTAGTGAGCTAATAATAGAATAGGTTACGCTTGTCAGCACTTCCATGTTCCTGGCCTAATGCTGCAGTTTCATCAAAAGGTCACACTTACACAAGCTGCTGGCTTTCAAAGAGACAAAATATTCCCCACATGAGTTTCTGGCTCTCCAATAGTTGTGTTAAGATGTTGAAGTTGGAAGATTGCATTTTGAAATGTGTGTGCCCAGCCAGCCATCGACATAGAGTGGTGAAATTCATGAAATGTCACAATAAACAGGAAAAAAAGAAATTATATTTTGTGTAAAAGCTCTCACAGGCACTGAAAGCATGGACATTTTAGGAAATTTGAAAACACAAAAGTGGTGAAATTATAAAAATGTATAATAATAATAATTGAAAATAAAATATAGCAAAATGTGGATATTTCTATAGTAAATGTAAGTTTATAAATTAAGATAAAGCATTTCTAGGATTAATTTGAAATTGTGAAATTATATATGTATCTATGTATATCTATCTATATATCTATCTATCTATCTATCTATCTATCTATCTATCTATCTATATATATATATATATATATATATATATATATATATATATATATATTAAGAAATGCTACAGTGTGCATAGGATAATACATTCATTCTTTATTATTGATATTAATAAGTAACAAAAATTGTCCTTACAAAGGTTTACAATAAGTCTTAATTCCACAGGAATATATGAACCAAGTATTGCCACTGATAGAGATATAATTCAAGATATTAATCTGAGGAATCCATAGGAATAGCCTTTCTTAGAGATTATATGAGAGGCCATAATACTGTCAAATACATATGCAGAGTATATAGAACCAGTGTGAGATTACAGCCCATATCAGGAGTATTATGCTATGCTGAAAAGTGTTATGATGTGTCAGCAGTGGAGATACTGGCAATATACAAATGTACTTCATTCAACACATGAAGCGACAATGAAATATACAAATCTACACAAGACATATCTAATCTTCATTTAGAGCTTTGTTTGTTATTGTCCTCTTGCATGATTGATAAACTATTTTCCTGTTTGCCACTATAAAGCTGCTTTGACACAATCTGTTTTGTATAAAGTGCTATATAAATAAAGCCGACTTGACGACTTAAACTCTCACACAGTGGCTCTTAAAAATGAAACACAAACGTGCTCATCATTAACTCAATAACTGTAACAGGTGAACCAATCGAATCCTAAAGCTTTGCATAGAATTGTTCAATATCTTCTGATCTAATAGCACACTCCTTTGTGGATCTCTAGCAACTTTCATCTCTCTAAGCAGTTGTTGCTATTCAGTTTGATGTGCAGTACATCTAAACTGCATTATAAATGTGGAAGAGAGTCATTTGGTACACATAGGGAGCTTATGGAATTAATAAAATGCAGTCAGTGGAGGCTGGGAGTAGTTTTGGAGTTGCAGTTCTTGGCCTCTCTCAGCCTGATGTGAAGCGTCTCTGAGTGTTTGTCTCTGGCGCTCTCTTGTGGCTCTTCTCGATTGTACAGCATTGATCCTAACTGTGGCAGGAACTGGTCCCAGTCCTCAGGTAGTAAGAGCAAAAGGAAGCCCAAACAAATGATGGACACGGCAATGATGCGCACACTGTTGAGCTGGATCTCACACATGTAGCGATCTATGACTGGAGTGTGGAAGATTTTTGATGGTCACTCAGGTATTACAGCTAAACATTTGAATATTTTAGTCTTTTAAACACCAAGATGCTAATGTAATCAGGGCAATTTGGAAAACATTTAAACTGAATGAAATCTTTGATATTTACAGTCCAATTCAAAAGTTTTTGTTTTTTTTTGGAAAGAAATTAATACCTTTTTTCAGCAAGGATGCATTCAATTGATCAAAAGTGTCAACAATGACATTTTTAATGTTGCAAAATATTATAAATAAAAATAGGTTTATTGGTTTCCACAAAAAAAGCAGCACAACTGTTTTCAACTGATGATAATAATAAGAAATGTTTCTTGAGCACTAAATCAGCATATTATAATGATTTTTGACAGATCACGTGGCACTGAAGACTGGAGTTATGGCTGCTGGAAATTCGGCTTTGAGATCACAGTAATAAATTACATTTAAAATGTATTAAAAGAGAAAATGGTTGTTTTAAATTGTACTAATATTTCACGATATTACTGTTTTTACTGTATTTTTAATCAAATAAATGCAGCCTTGGTGAGCAGAAGAGACAACTTAAAAAAAAACATCTTACCAAGCCCAAATTTTGAACAGTAGTGTATATTATGGGGTAAAGGAGGAAAATAATAATAAAGAAAAGTCATTTACTCAAAAATCATTTACTCATCCTCATGTTGTTCCAGACCTGTATAGCTTGCTTTCTTCCGTGAAACACAAATGGAAATTTCATGCTGTTATTTATTTTTTGTTATTTTTGAAGTTTGGCCAATAGTTATGTTCAATGTATAGAAAAGAGCAAAGTTAACATACTGCCTAACATCTCCTTTTGTGGATTACAGAAGAAATAATCGCATACAAATTTGTAACAACATACAACTTTGAAAAACAACAAGTGGCTCTATTATGACTCACCAGCGTTGACAGGAACACTGAGGACGACGCCCAGAGAAATCAGAGTAGGAAGTTTTATCAGAACACCAAAATTCAAGAGGAAGTTGAACACTAAAAGAGCATCCAAAGAAAACAATTTGAAGTTAAAATGTCTTAATGATGGATTTGTTTATTATAAACACAGTTTTTCATTTCAGGAGATTTTAATTGATGTACTGAAGTCGTATGGGTTACTTGTTGATTATTGTGATATTACATCAGCAGCTTGAACTCTTATTCTGATGGCACATATTCCATTTGTGTACATAAGCACAGTTTGTGTTTATGTATTGGCGTCCATTATCTTACCCAGCAGAAGAGCGGACATGCCACAGATACTTGGCCATGGCAAATCTCTAGGTGAAACAAAGTCCTCGGCCCCCGTGATAAGCAGGATCAGAGGTACAGCACTAATGAAGACCAAATTAGCTCCACCGAGAACAGTAAGATACACAGCTGTTTCACCCAGCTTTGCACTACCCAGAACAAGCTTGAACAGAACCTGAAGAAACATTTACACGTATGGATTTCTCTACAGACGAAGAGAGGATAAAATAATTAAATGTTCAATAATAGCAGTTCATTGGTGTATGATGTGTTTGTTGTGCTTTACAATCCCATCTTACTTTGTATATAGCTGCTGTTAATGCAGAACCAACCACAAGGGAGATGCCAATCACAGAGTAGCTGTGGAAACCATCAGCATATGTCATCATAACAATGCCCCCAATGGCTAAAATGGCTGCTACAATCTGTGATTAGATGGAATACAGAAAAATGTCTGACTTTTTTAACAGTAGAGTACATAATGATAAAAAGTAAAAATCCCATATAGACACTGACATATGCACACAACAGTATAACCACAATAAAAGTATTTTATATCAATTTATTTATCATAGACTCACCCGCACTCCCATGAAGCGATCCCGCAGGACAATCCAGGAAATTAGGAAGACAAAGGCACGACTACAGCAGAAAAGGGCACAGGCATCAGTGGCAGGGATTCTGCGAAGGCCTTGCAGGTACAGGTAGCTGGTGAGAGTCCACAGCACTCCAAAAGGAGCCACACGAGAGAGCAGCATCCTCAGTGACAGCCCGTCATCTCCCAAGAACTGACAACACTGTCTAATGTCAATCCACAAACGTGCAAATAATGTATCATGCCATAATTTATCATACCAACATTTCCAATACACAAATATGTCAAACGTTTGGACACACCTGACTGATTGGAAGTTTCTAATGAACTTAGAGATGTTTGATCTAAAATCTTAGGCTAAACTATCTAATTAATTAAATAGTCTAATGCTTAAAATTATTTTGAATATATCTGCATATGCATTTATCTATGTATGAATTTCTTTACAATATAAAAACACATATAGTTTATTAATTTTTTTAGACTGTAAAGTAAATTCAGCTTTGGCATCACATGAATAAATTAAATTTTTAAAATACATTAAAACAGTTATTTTAAATGGTAATATTTCACAGTGTTACTGTTTTTACTGTATTTCAATCAAATAAATGCAGCCTTGTTGAGTATAAGAGAATTCGGTCAACCATGGTAAATGTACAACTTTTGCAGCTTATATTGCTAATACTGCTGTAACTTTTATTATATTAATATTAACTTTTCATTTGTTTATATCAATAAATTACTACAGTAAATTACAGTACAGTAAAACTACATGACTAACAACAGCAGCCCAAAAAATAGCCTTTGAATAATGTGTAACATAAACTAACATCAGGCAAAAGTAATTTCAGAGGTGGAAAAAGTAATTTGTATTTTGTATTTTGGTGAAAGTTTACAAAGTCAAACTATTTTTTTTCCTTAGAAATAAAATACACTGATGAGCGTAATAAGATGCACACATTGAGATGTGTAACTTATTAATACAGTAAATAGGTTTTGATTTCTTGATGACTTTAAGAAGAACTGCTAACTAGATGAACATTATAAAACAAACTATCCAATTTAGGGAAACCCTGGTTTCATTCAATTACACCTACTTCAGAAAGTGCTGCTCAGTACAAAAGACTTAACCTTTAAAAAATATTTTGTGCTGAACTCGCAAAAGACAAAAAATGCCATGGGACATTGTTAAGAAAATGAGGTTAGTGTCAAGCCCTCTATCTAAGCAGCCAAGACCAACAAAACTGCAAAGTCAACAAAAGGTGTCTGCATAAAACAGTGCAGCACTTTTGCAAAGAGTTTTCATTTTGAAATGCACTTAAGTTTCATAGGTCACAGAATCAGATCTCCTTGCATGAAAGGAAACCCAATCCAACTCACCTGAAGTGCTGTCTGGGAGTCTGTCTGTCCTTGCTACAGCACAGGTGACCCAGGTAGTAAAGAGGGAAGATGGCACAGTTCCAGGAGGTGGAGAACCAAGTGAGGGTGAACGGGACATTCAAGCGTCTAATGGTTATTTTGGCCAACTGAGTGCAGCCCGACCAAGAAAAGCAGATGCAGATCACCAAAGCGACACCCCACAGTGCTCTGTGCAGGTGGACTGCAGTCATATGCAAACAGCAGCGGAGCCTCTGCAGCCTGTTCCCACAATCTGATTTGACTGTTTCTGTGGCAGAATGGCCATCTACCTTCACTTCCACCTTCTCGCTGTTGGACTGGTCCTCCCCTACAGATACAGACAATATAACTTCATAATACAAAGTCATAAGCATAGCCACAGGCATTTAATCACATCACCACCAGTTTTATTTTTAGAAAATAAACTTTCATGCAGAACTCTAGGAGAAATTTGTATAACAAAGCTGACGCTGACAAATCTGAAATGCAGTACATAAGATAATATAATATCATTTCAGAACTGTACATTTAGTAGGACAACTACCAGCAAGCACCTTTGCAATGCTGAAAACATAAATCTGAAACAAGACAGCAGGAATCAAGCAATGCTCTTTTTTGAGAGCATTGTTTATTATCATAGTAAAAATAAAATAGGTAATTATAGATACACTATCATTTAAAAGTTTGTGGTCTGTAAGAATTTGTTATCGTTTCTGAAAAAAGTCTCTTATGCTCTCTAAGGCTGCATTTATTTGATAACAAATACAGTAAAGTATTAGACAATTTTAAATAACTGATTTCTGTTTTTATATATTTTAAATTGTAATTTATTCCTGTGATGGCCAAGCAAAAATTTCTGCAGCTATTACTCCAGTCTCCAATGATCCTTCAGAAATTATTCTAATATGCTAACGTGGTGCTTAAAACATTTCTTAATATTAATGATGTTGTGCTGTTTAATATTTATGTGAAAACTTAATTCAGGATTCTTTAATGAATGCTAAGTTCAGAAGAACAGCATGTAGTTGAAATAGAAATCTTTTGTAACATTATAAACATATTTACTGTAACTTTTGATCAATTGAATGCATCTTCGCAGAATAAAAATGCTACTTTCTCCCAAAAATAAATCTTACTTACCCCAAACCTTTAAACAGTACTGTATGAATTCATATTGTGATATATAAAGTTATAATAGAGTTTCAGTTATGAAAAATAAAGTCACAACTGTGAGATAAAAATAAATTGCAACAGTAAGAAAAAGAATCAAAATTGTTTTTACTCCATGGTGGAACGTGTGTTGTAATGTCATTTATCACAGAAAATATTTCTGACTCGTCCTTAGGCTTTTTTGAAGTAAGACATATAGTTAGTTACACAACATTATAAATCAAGATACAAGAACATTAGATAGCAAGAAGCAATACACAAGGTGTATGAAGAATGTATTGCTGTCCATGGTACTGAAGATGCAACACTGTTTTGTTTTACAAAGATTCTCATTTCTCCTTTATATACCATACTTTTGCCCTCATGGCCTGTAAGAGGACATTTAGTATGTACTGGCTAGAACCTGTCAGGTCTAAAGGACAGAACTGTCAGTGCAAAAAGGACAAGTAGGAAGACAGACTGTCCCCAGGTAGCAGTCAGTCAACAGAACAAGTCTCATTATCATAGTCACACCACAGTCTGGGATAGTTAATGTGATCTGAGTACCAGTCCAGTGCTGCACACATTGACCCAAGCATCAATAAGAAGGTGTTAAAGGTGTGTGGAGAAGTGGTTAAAGAATTGCCTTTTAAATCCAACCCTGTATAGTGGCAATGTGTGAACTAAAAACATGCTGAACTGCCTAATTACGATTGTGAACTGAAAAGGTAAGGGCTAACTTGATTGTACAAACCAATCAAATCCATTGGTTATCCACCATTATAGCATTTATTTGGCATTTATGGGCAGGTTCACATGCACATCCATCTGACCATCTCTCCATCGACTGCTGTATGACGTAAGAAAAAAAAAATCAATGTCAAACCATATTTCTTATTACACACTTTTGTCAGACCAGAGCTGGAGGAATTATTCTTTCACTAAAACTAAGTTTTAAAGATGCTCTGTTGCATCATTTGAACTCCAACATTGATGATGAACGATCTGCTCACTTCAAAAGCACTAAACGGTGAGATCTCTGCTTATGCTCTCAGGGTTTTTTAGAGGTCTCAACAGCTTTACTTCAATACGATACTTAAGTATTATTTTGAGGAATCTGTTAAAATCAAATATTTGTATCTTTACAATTACATTCACAGAAAAAAAAATATTTTTTTACTCCATTACAATTTCATGTAGACTAGTTTAAAGTACTACGTCTGTAAAGTAAATGATATATGTCAATATGACAAATCTTTCCTCAATGGTTTAAAAATAATATTGGAATTTTTTTTCCTTATCCCAATGTGACTAACAAGTTGACCAATCATGTTCACATAAGTTTAACTTGTGCATGAGAGTGCGCACAAATCTTATGCTATGATGCAGTCAGTGGAGGAATGGAAATGAGAATTGAGAGAGACCTCATCTGCCCCTGATGACTCAGCAAAACTGGGCTCTGACTCAGTTACCTTCTCATGCATATTAGAGTCACTGACAGAGCTGCACGTCATAACTCAGGCTACAGTGCTTTGCTCAAATACAGTGCACAGCATAAATGAGTACACCCCCTCTGAAACTTAACAAATTCAGCAATTACTCTTTGCTTAGGAGACATGTTATGTTTTTTTAGAGATATAATATCCCAGCAAGTCTGCTTGATCAGTTACCAAAGAAGAATGTTAAAATTATTCAAGAAAATACAATTTTCTTATCAAAGTGATAAAATGTTATGTTGCAAAAATGAGTACACCCTCCTGAAAGTTACTAAATAAAACAACAACAAAAAAATTCTGGTGTAAGGTTAAGGTAAGTATGTTGAACCAAAACTGTTAAAGGTAAGTAATTAATTGTTATATGGCCCACTGAATCATACTCAGACTTAATGCACACAACAATGAAACTGTGAAAGTGTCTCAGAGCCGCCAAAAGCTGTGAAAAGAGTGACACTTTATCTCACAGAGTAAGATGCAGCATGCAGAAGTGACATGCATGGTTGTTTATCCACACCAGAACTGCCGACTGTAGCCAAAGCACAATAAACTCATTTAGCTATTTCCAAGGCCCATTTTCACAAAATATAGACTTCTGGGAATCCATACTCTGGTCTCATGAGACCAATTCAATCATTTAGGATCTAACAGCATCCAAAATGTTCTGGTGTTGCTAGAGGAGGAGTACAGAGAGAAGTGCCTGGTTCCCACAGTGACGTTCAGTGGTAGTAAAGCTCTTCTATAGGGATGTATGAGTGCTGAAGGTGTGAGGGAGTTGTACTTTATCAACGCTGTCATGAATTCACACACCACTGTGTGATGTAATACAAAAACCTGAAACTGAAGATACTACCCTCTTCTCATCCCCATTTTTTTTAACATGACAATGAAGATATTCATTCTCCTGAGTTGAAAATCCTTCAGTGGACATGTATTTCACTCAATCTTAACACTCTTGAGCTGCTGTGAGAGATTATGTAGAGTCGAGCTGAGCAACACTCCCCATTAAAGATCAGGGCATTTAAGGAGGTCGTCCTCCAGGAGTTAAACAGCACAGATGTGAAAATTTGTCATGAACTTGTACACTCAGTGCCAAGAAGTGTCAGAGCAGTGTACTTAAGAGTTATGGAGGACATATTAAGTTCTAGAATATTACACTTGGTTGAATTAAATCTAGGTTGTACTCAATTCTGCAATCCTTCATTTAAACAAAAAATTGGCTAAGTTTCTTATTTTACAGATATTAATGGAATGTATTTCTCTGTTTTTATTAAGAATATGTTTAACACATTTCAATTTTGCCATCTTTCTATGAATTATATTAGTGATCATTAAGAAAATAAACCTTAAATATTTAATCAGAGGGGGTGTACTCATTTATGCTGTGCACTTTACAGCAATAGATACATCAGGGGTCCCATGTGCTAATTGGATATTTGCAAAATTTGCAAGATGTTTATCTTTTTTTTAAATGAGAGGTTGCATTTTTTTAGTTTTTTTTTACTGTGTACAGTGTATACATATAGAAAGTAACTGAAAGGGCTCTTTGTTTACAAATGATCTGACTCAGCTGTTTATCGAATGGGTGATAGATTGCGTTGCTTGTGCCTGTGTCAGCAGTATACTAAAGTATGAAATGTTTGTGCGTGGGGTTGCAGAGGAGCTCAATTTGATGCAGGGCTGTGAAGCTGGTCTTTGATCGATGTGTTTACATCATAAAGCATAAATGTTCAGCTCTCAAATTAAAAAAAAAAGATCAAAGATTTAAACTCATAGACGGGACTAGTAGCTTGATGAAAGGCAAGAAAAAACAGCCCTCGCTGTAACCTTTGAGCCACCTTCAAATTTTTTAGGAAGGAGTCAACCAATATTTCAGAGCAGGTCCAACCAAAAGACTTACATATTGGATGTAAAAGTTATATAATGCAATATAATGAAATTTGTGTAATACTATTTTATTTCTATACAGGATACTATATAAGTATGTAAGATAGTCCACCCAAAAATGAAAATACTGTCATCATTCAGAACATTTTAACTAGTAAAAATTGAATTGTTGATATCAAGAATTCATATCCTGAGAATGAATAAAAGTCAAAAGGGCTTGCCATATCACTACACTTCCAAACCTGTATACGCAAAAGAAGATATTTTGAGGAATTTTCCTGAACTGGTTACCAAACATTCCTTCAATATATATGTTTTTATGTTCCACAGATGAAAGAACGTCATACAAGTTTGAAACAACACGAGGTGAGTGAATTATGACAGAATTTCCATTTTTGGGTGTACAATCCCGTTAAGGGTAAAGGAACTATATGGGCTCCCTAATAGTTCTATGCCCTTAACTCATATAATATTAATTTAATTCTTTACATTTAACGTACAAAAACAAGCATGAATCAAGTGTAGTACCTCTAAGAGATGCGTTCCAGGGCTCATAGCAATAGTAACCAGTGATCCTCAGGATCCGCTCTTCTATGGATGCGTTGTTGATGTACTCGACTGATCTCGATGACTTCAATTCTTCACTTAGATCTTCATCCGTAATGATGAGGGATTTCAGCTGTCTGATCTCAGGACTGATATCTGACAGGCGGCGCGGACTCATGTCTGAAGGCTTTCTCATTCCCCTGAAGTTAAAGAAGAGACATCAGAGCACAGTGGATGTCTGCGGAAATGTATACCTTGGAAGAACCAGCCTGCATGTAAACACACCGCAAACTAGAGGCACGACACAACGCAACGCGACAAAACGCTGCCAATCAATTTATCCAAAACTGCGAGTACGCACGCACGCGCGCGAGCGTTTGCTAGAGTCAAACTTGCAGTTGAACTGCGGTGTTAAACAGTGCAAACTTGTTTATGGTACAGCCAGCAGCAAGCTTGACGAATGCATTTCAAAAGACTAAAAGGATGCTCACGCGCTCATTTTGAAGCATCGTATTGTAGCTTTTGGCTAGAAAAGAAATGTAAGTAACTCACTCTGAGACAGAGAAGTTCTGTTTCATTCAGCACTCTGATGAGCCCATTTTAAGAACGGTTACAGAATCAAGCGTTAAGAAATCGTGACTGTTCTTGATAAAAAGCCAGAAGCTGAAGCTCTGCCGTATGAAGAGAAGACACGACCACCTGTGCGCACGCAATGCGCATACGCAGAAACAAAAGCTGACATTATGGGTCGCCGGGATTTTGCCAAGTAAGACATGTTCCTGGATCAACATCTTTTGATGATCTTGGATCAACATTATTGTCCAAAAATATAGACTTAGCCCAATCCCTACCCCTAAACCTAACCCATAATTTATTCCTAAAATCAGTGGGAAATGATAGCTGATTAACAAGGGTGTAGAAGCACCTAACCCTGATCGTAAGCCTAAAACAGATATTTCCTGAAAAGTTATATCTCAATGTTGACTGGTTGATTGGAATGTTGGTCCAGGATCAACAAGGATGTTGATCCAGGAACATGTTGTACTTGGTGAAATCACGCTCACCGACATTATGAATTTATGATCCACCAATATTGACGTTTCATCTAATATCATTTGGCGATTTATCCATGTTGACTGCCAATAAACTCTCTTAAAACACACTTTTCATTTGGTCAAATGTTTTGGTCAAACAATGTCCTTTTTTAAAGTCATCGTGAGCATTCAGTGGTGGAAATAATTTTGGAATAAAATGACAGACTCGGCTAATTACATAGCTAATATTGTAGGTATATTTAATACACATATGTTGCATTATTTGCCACAAGAACAAAAAAACTTTAATAACTGCTGTCTGCTGGCTGACTGACTGTAAGGAAGTTGTCTTACTTTTTATACAACAATTTCCACATGCTGTGTTGCTCTTGTGATACATTACATTTAACATGCTTCAGTGTATCTTTCTTAGATGAACAGGTCAGTTGTAGCAGCCCATCACAGCCCATCTGTCTGGCACAGCAGAGATGGCAAGGGGGGAAGAAGGAAACTGGCCAAGAAGAGATGAGTAAGGAAGTGGCTCTTGGAGGGTGGTAAACCCAGGAAGAAGGAATTGCATGCAAAGCCCTTTTGATCCAACTTGATCATGACTCATGTCCCATACATGCTCATGGTATGCATTAGATTTTTAAATTTCAGAAGAAATGTAAGTGTTTTTTTTCCATGCCACAAGTCTAGGATGTTGTGAGTATTTACAAAGGTGTTGCCATGCAGTTGCTATTGCATTCTGTTTTAGCATGTCACTATGTGCTTATGAGGGTGTTCTGGGGTGCGTTTCCCCAAAGCAACTCTGGTCACAAGTTCCATCATTACCAATAGAGTTCAATGGAACTTGCGATCATTGTGAGCTAACAATGCTTTTGGGAAACGCACCCCTGGGTGGCTGTGTATTTTTCCAATCACTAAATTTCTAGGACATTCTGGTCCCTATATAAACCTGGGGTCAATTTAATGTCTGCTTAATCCTGCCGTGTAAATTGATGAGATTTTTTCCCCTCCATTTTATTGTTGACCAGGCAAAATTCGTAATTCTGATTGCTAAGAAAAGTGATATGACAGCAATATCTCATCAACAAGCCGCACAATTTGAAAAATCATTCATGTCATCATTCGGCGTAGAATGCTAAAGTTTAATACGAATTTTAAGCTTTCATATCTCTAACTCTTAAGTATGAGAAATTATAACCTAGTGATGCTGACCTTAGCAAACAACATTAAATATGTTAATTTTCATACTTAAAGTGTATGTTAGTTCATAAATAAATACATCATCTTTTTAATAAGTACCACATTTACACCTTCTCCATAGTTTATGGCATTTTCATTGCTGCTCTTAAAAAACTTTAATTTATTTGAGTAAATGTACCTATGTATAATGTCCAATGTGTATTATAGCCACTTTATAGTTCACTTGAACAAAATTGTTGGTTTGAAAAATTTGCAGTGCAAAGAACTGTAACAATTGAAAGTAAGTTGAGCATTAAAAATCTATGTTTAGTAATCAAACCCGTCTTAATAAAACTCCTTAAAAGCATCATTATACTATTTGGTCATTAAACTGTCATTCAGATTAGCTTTTCAGCACTTGATCATATGTAAAAGTTTTTACCTGTCTTTCGGAGGACACAGTTGTACACAGGGTGCTGGAGTCTCATCCTCTTTCTGCATTGTGCCGGCACATCATGTGTGGGGAACTTGTCCCTCCAGTGTGGCAGCTTCACAGTCCACTGCCAGGTTTTGAAAGATGGCTAGCAGTGGGGGTGTGAGCCACAGTGTGTGTGTGTGTGTGTGGTGCAAAATAGGAGTTCCTTGTAACTGGTTGGCACCTATCGATCGGAAGAGCCATCTCCACCCCAGCACAAGCCTCAGTCAGGAGACCTATGCTTAGCTAAGCAAAAACTTCTGACAGTGCCGTCAATACCCTCCCAACACCTTCCACTGGAGAACGCCGTGGAGAGAAGAGGTCTGCGCTGCATATGCTTAACTCAAAATTCAGCTTGGCACGTACTGTAGCGAGACCTGACATCTAATGAGTCAGACTGGCTTGGATAAACACAGGCCATGGGAGAGAGAGTTTAATTGAAAAATCATTGGGTGAGAGCTATCGAAGCACTCTGGTGGAGATTATTCGCATTTACCAAGGACACACCAAAGGCAAAATTAAAAGGAGACATTTATAAATAACAACCGCAGTATTCAATAGTTTGTTCTCTTCACGGAGAACAGTAGCATAACAATGAGCAAGATTTTTTTCTCTTTACCATACACTCTTAAGAAAAATGGTTCTAAACAGTACCAGAAAAGGGAAAAGTAATATAAAGTCAAGGGATAGGGTATGTTTATGCATAAACCCAAGTAATGAAAAAATCTAACAAAATGGACCAAAACGTCAATATCTTTGTTACTTACTTAGTGAAGAAGAGGAGAGTATCCTTAACTGAATAGAGCTGAAAGTTATAATTTATAACTGAAAATTTTACATTTTAAGAAAGAAATAATTTACCTGTTGAAAGTGTGTTGACAGTCTGTGTCGTTGGATGGCTGAGCTCCATAAAATCAGTAATGAGGCATTTTAGAGTGTAGCCTCGGTTAGGGTTTTACATTAAAACAACAACAACAATAACCACAACAGCAGCATGTTGTGTGAATTAAGTATGTTTTTATTAACATGCAAAATTGTCAATGCTCTTAACAACAGTTATTAGCTGAACACATTAATGAATGACAATTGACACTGAACATGAATAAATACATAAAGAAGTAAAACACAAAATAAGAACAGAAAATAGATGTGACGAAGACCCAGTTTCAGTGAAACAATCACAATCTAATCAATATGATGTCTTTAAGTCCATCATTTTGGTGTGATTAAGTAGCGATTTTTCTCTGCAGATGATGAGGTTGTAAGATGTGATACATCTGAAATACACAATTCAGAATCAGAATCAGAAAGAGCTTTATTGCCAAGTATGTTTGCACGTACAAGGAATTTGTTATAGTGTCACAAGCTTCCAGTACACGGAGACAACAACAACACACAGATAATAAAAATAAGATGTGAATAAAATACACATGCATAAATATAAACCACAAAAAAAGAATAAATTGTGTGTACAGGTGTGCTATAGATAGAATAGGAATAGAATAAAATAAAATAAAGAAGTCTGAATTGCAAGATGTAAACTCGCAATTCCAATAATAGAAGTCACAATTACTGTTTTTACTTTTTTATTCTGTGACGGAAACAAGCTTTCATAGTAACCAAAATCCATGTACTGTATGTGGGAATTTTTGTTGATCACTGGCATCAGCTACCATGGGGGCACCATACACATCCAAACCCCACCCACTGGTAAGCAATTTCAATCTAGGTTCCAATTGAATTTCTTTCTATTGTACATTCTATAAAGTAATGACTCATTCAGTTTTAGATAGTATGCTGCCAAGAATGAACACATTCAACACTTAAAAATGTAAAATGGGTTTGAGTTGAAGGTAAACCGAAGGCTAAATTACTAAAAAATTATGGATTTTAATATTGTCTATTATATGCAGGTAGAACTGAAACATGACAAGAGATGCAGTTGTTGTAAAGCCATCAACTGTTAGTATTTTGACAGTCACTTTGCTATGATTGACTATATGTTTCTGTTGGATAGAAACTAGTGCTAATGTTTTGACCGAATGACTCAGTTTTGAATCAGGTTTGCTGTGTTTTGATTTGAGTTGATTTGAGTTAGTATATGTAGAAAAAGGTATTCAGCATTTTGAAATGTAGAGTTTGTATTTATTTAACAAAATGTGGTTTTGGCCAGAAAACTAACTATTTGGCTAACTGTGTGATGTAGGTTTGTTGCTGGGTTAAGAGTTTAGAAAAGTACTTTAAGTATTGGTCAACGCTTGTTAGCAATTTAAAAAAACTGTAAATTCATTGATTTCTGCAGGTAATCAGAATCAGAATCACAATCAGAAAGAGCTTTATTGCCAAGTATGTTGCACATACAAGGAATTTGTTATAGTGTCACAAGCTTCCAGTACACGGAGACAACAACAACACACAGATAATAAAAATAAGATGTGAATAAAATACACATGCATAAATATAAACCACAAAAAAAGAATAAATTGTGTGTACAGGTGTGCTATAGATAGAATAGGAATAGAATAAAATAAAATAAAGTTGTAGGGATGTACTAGGGTTTAGGGTGATAAATAAGCATAAGGTTATTGCACATACTTTAATTGCACAATGGGAGAACATTAACTGTTCATGAGGTAGATTGTCTGGGGAAAGAAACTGTTCTTGTGCTGTCCTGGTATTCGGTGCTCTGTAACACCGACCAGATGGCAAAAGTTCAAAAAGGAGATGGCTTGGATGTGATGGATCCAGAGTGATTTTCTGATTTTCTGATTTTCCTCACTCTGGATGTAAACAGTTCTTGGAGGGTAGGCAGGGGGGCATCAATAATCCTTTCAGCATTCCGAACCGTTTTCTGTAGTCTTCTGATGTCTGATTTGAGACATCCAATTGAGTTTAGAGTTACAGTGTGTCCATGTGTTTATGTAAAAACAATTATGTTTATGAAGGCCAAAAGCAAAAGTGGACAGTATGAGAGCCCTTCACAATCTTAAAAAGAAAAAAGTGATATAAAGTCATGGGATAGTTAAATATTTTTTGTGACTGAGTATGTTTATACATAAACCGAAGTAATAATTAAAAAAAGCTAAAAATATGAGTTATAAATGAATTGTCTCTTTTACTTAGTGGAGAAGAGGAGAGAAGTTTCCACAGTTTAGCAGAGCTGCATACACTTATGGTATGGAAACCAGTTACATTTTTAAAGTTAAATTTGCATTTCAATTTTAAGAATGAAGTCATTTACCGGTTGAGAGTGTGTTGACAGTCTGTAGTTGGATCACTGAACTCCAGAAAATCAGTAATGAGGAGCTTTAACGGTTACAGATTTGTAAAACAAAAGGGCAGGAATAAAGAACCCTAAACTCTAACACAAAGAACCATTTCAGCATGAAAGGGTTCTTCAGAATGCTATGGTTCTAAATAAAACCATTACTGCATGTAAAGAACCATCTTTTTTTAGAGTGAGATGGCACAAAATCTCATCTCAACACATTTAATGAATGGACATGCTCTTTTTAATTTTGCCATTTCATCTGAATATTAATATTTGTGAGATTTAGTCATTCAAGTTTAGATGCTAATTGATATAATTTTGTGTCTCTGGAAAATAGTGATATGACATTACATTATGTTGAATATCAAAGGTTTTTTTTGTCTGTTTGCTAATAGGGAATTTGTGGATAGATTGATGTTTTTAGATTTGAGAATATTTTGTGAATTGTGAATATTTGTAAAATATTTTCTTTACTACACAAATATAAAAACATGAATGTTAAAAATATTTTTATTTTGAAGTGAACAGATACAAGTAGACTATTTGGGTAAGATGGGTTCCCTATTAATTGGTAGGAAGGCCCAGAGTGGCATGTTGTTACTAGTGTTTTTATTTTATTTTTTTTTATATAATATTTATTGTAATTCATAGGATTATTATTCAGTAATTCCAATAGACAGGGGTGGCTTCTTGCTCCAGATAGGAGGTCATCTAACCCTCTTTGAGTTGCTCTGCTACAAACTCAAAGGGGTGTTAGTCCTTCAACTGCCAGATAAAATACTGTACCTTTACCTTTGGTACCACACATCAAATGTTTTCATAGGAAAGAAAAATCAAGACAACTCTTCAATATTTTGGTTCTTTCTCCTAGATAGCAATGAGACTGAATGAAGATCAAAGATTTCTATATGAACTCAAATATTTCTCATCAAATACTTTTGAAGCCTAATTATTTATATCATTTGTTATTATTTAAATGTATTTACATTTCAGCTATACTCTCCATATTAACATTCACAATGAGCTGTACTTTTACGGTTTGTCAACAAATGTCTCGATTGTCTCTATTTTTATGAGAAACATCTCATATAAAGTCAATACCTCCAGAAAATGAATCATTGCTGAAACGTCCAGCTACTTTACTGAGGTATGCAAGAAAAGAAATTGTCCATTGCATGTTAATCGTGCATCTAAAATGAAAACCAACAGATACTAACAAGAAATTGTTCAGAATATACTCAAAACCATAATTTTCCCATGATATCAAGGAATTATTCACCTTTAGAGAAACCCTGAAATATTACCTCCTTTATCGCTACAAGCAAAATACATTGTCCATTTACAAGCTCAGCTTTCTCAGCAATATCATCATACGCTGTGAAGATTATGAATGTGGCATTTAGATTAATGTCTAGGGGAACTCAAGAAGGTCTCTTATAGTTTCATGTGCTGTCCTGTTCAAGTTTAACAAAGTGAGCACAGCTGCAGGGACTTGTTAACATAACCTCGGCTCAATTTCAGCACCACTATTACAGGATGGCATCAAATCCACTTTCAAACAGCAGAGTAAATATCTCTTTTAACAGCACTGAGCAGGCATCCTGATAGACTGTTAACAGACTGTACAGCTGCTCAGGGTTTTAACACACCTATATAGCCCAGCAAAATAATCTAAGTAAACAACTCTGAGAGGTGGAGATGTGTTTGGATTACATTTGATATGTGCTGCAAGTTCTGTTTCAGCTCATATGTATAAAACCGTGCTACTGGCTGAAGAATGGACACAATACAATTATAACATCTACAGTATAACCAAAAATCCAGTTTATTCTGTTTTGTTAAAGTGCAACTCAAGACAAACGATAAATGCACAACTTTCAGTATCTTTAGGCATGAGCAATAAAATTTAAATATGAAAATTAAAACTACAAATTAATGATAAAATAACATGAATTCCCTTCAGCAATATACCCAGTCACTGGGTATATGTCAAGAATGTACTGATGCACTGATGTGACTTATGTTCTCGTCTTACAATACAACAGTAAGGGCACTCAGTGCACAACAGCACCTTTAGGTGGTGGACAAAGCCTACTGCATCTGCAGAACAGCCAACATGTCTAAAGCCAAGTAAAGCAATTAAATATACAGATATTGTCTGATGCCTCTACTAAAAATATATATTTTAAATTCCCTTTAGAAGTTAATTAAAGAATGTCACCAGGGACCTGCCCCTGTCTATTCTAAAAATCTAAGGAAACAAAACAAAAAAATAATGCGCCATGACTAAAGGCTGGAATACACTACATGGTTTTTAAAATCTGAACAGATTTTAAAACACTAGGCATCGTGCACTTGCAGACCTTGAATAGAGTAAAGGCTGGAATACACCACACAACTTTTAAAATGACTAAAGGTCTATGAATCAAACATCACCAGATTTTCAAGTCTTTCTAAAAACACAAACTCACACAGAAGTGTGTGCCTTTTTACTGACAAATGAAAACAATGTGTGTTCTAAAATTAGCTCTAAATATCAAACATTTGATATTCTCCGACTGGATGGAATCATAATCTGAATCAAAAAAAATTGAGTCTGTGCCCATCATACACACATTATATGATTTTCTGCTAAATCTGTCAACTTCGACTGCCTAAAATCAGTAGACTGATAGTGTTGACTTGTCCAGACTGTAAATCAGGGCAAAAATTGGTATAAAAGTCATGTAGTGTTTTCCTGCCTTAAGCAACGTCTACAGACTTAGTAACCTGAAGACATGATTTCCATTAATACATCTGTAATACAGGATGTGGATCCCTTTAAGTCACCTAACAAGAACAGCATATGAAGTATGTAATACTAGTCTATGACCACTTACCAGTTAACTATTTATATTCGGAGTCATGGATGGATTTATCTTTTACCTACACACACAAACACACACAAAACCCTGGTCACATGTTTTCCAGTTCAGCAGCTGCATGAACAATGATCTCATATGATATTATGTATTCTACAAATTCATATAATCCTTTTCCATAATAAATTACCTTCAGCACGTGTTTCAAGTATTCGTATCTATGGTTGGTTTCGGTTAACTTGACAGCAGAGTACACTAACAATACATTTATGCTCTTAGCGGAGATGTTTCAGAAACATTAACGTGTTGTTTCTTGACACAGAATTTCAGTATGTCTCATCGGTCCATTGGTCCATTGGAGGTAGTAGGTGAGGCGGAGACTATGTCATCAGGAAACATATCTGTCTTATCTTCCCTAAATGAGGCTGCCTGGTCGGACACAGAGGCAAATGAGAGGTGATCATGATCCACTATGTTAAGCTGGTCCTCTGTTTTTTGTTTCCTTAAGTAGAACATCTTTCTGAGCTTCTTCAGGTGCTGAAGTTCACAGAAGGTTTCCAGAACCACCAACATCGCGATCAAGCCCAATATCAGGTAGACTGTACAAGAGAGAAACAGATAAGGTTAAAGAGAAACAGAAAGCGACCCTTAAAGGAACACTCCCCTATTTTTGAAAATAGGCTCACTTTCCAACTCCCCTAGAGTTAAACAGTTGAGTGTTACCGTTTTCGAATCCATTCAGCCGATCTCTGGGTCTGGCGGTAGCACTTTTAGCTGTAGCTAAGCATAGATAATTGAATCTGATTAGACCGTTAGCATCTCGCTCAAAAATGACCAGAGTTTCTATATTTTTTCTATTTAAAACTTGATTCTTCTGTAGTTACATCATGTACTAAGACCGACGGAAAATGAAAAGTTGCGATTTTCTAGGCCGATATGGCTAGGAACTATACTCTCATTCCGGCGTAATAATCAAGGAACCAATGATATTACGCAGCGCCTGAAAATACTCTAACTTCTGTCAGCATAACCAAAGTGACCACCTGCTTACACAGGGAGTGTGCTGGGGACTATTTTCAGGCGCTGCGTAATATCATTGCGCCTGCTGCACCCATGGTACGCCAGCAAAGTTTCTTGATTATTACGCCGGAATGAGAGAATAGTTCCTAGCCACATCGGCCAAGAAAATGGCAACTTTTCATTTTCCGTCGGTCTTAGTACACGATGTAACTACAGAGGAGTCAAGTTTTAAATAGGAAAAATATAGAAACTCTGGTCATTTTTGAGCGAGATGCTAACGGTCTAATCAGATTCAATGATCTATGCTAAGCTACAGCTAAAAGTACTACCGCCAGACCCGGAGATCGGCTGAATGGATTCGAAAACGGTAAAACTCAACTGTTTAACTCTAGGGGAGTTGGAAAATGAGCCTATTTTCAAAAATAGTGGAGTGTTCCTTTAAGGGGTCTGTGGTGGTATTACTCGGGGCGTCGGTCAATTAATTTTTTGGAAAAAAATTTATCTAAATATGCAAACACTAAGTTAACAAAGCAACCTAAGACCTTAGATAAAGTTCAATCAAAGTTAAAGAAGCTAAAGTTCAAGTCCAAAGTTAAAGTTCTGCTACATGTTTCATTGTCTCTATCAAATTCTGTTCAAAAGTTTGGGGTCAGTAAATTTTTTTTTAATTAAATTAAATTATTACTTTTATTCAACACAAATGCATTCATAAATTAGTTTAATGCATTTAATGCATAAAATTAATCAAAAGTGACAGGAACTTTAAAAAAAAAAACTATTTAAAAAAATGCTGTTCTTTTGGACTTTCTATTCTTCAAAGAATTCTGAAAAAAATGCACCAGTTTCTCCTGTAACCATGCTACTTGAGCACCAAATCAGCATCTTCTTCTTTCACAAACTTTTACAAATCTTTCCAACCCCAAACTTTTGAACAGTAGTGCATGTATAAATGTAAGAAAGTAAAAGTAAAATGCAATGTACAATATATGACTCTGTACAGCAATAATAATTAAACAAACTGTGCACTTACATGTAATACCCAATTTATAGAGTTCTCTGAACCTCTGATGATAGCCTTCTCCTGGTACATAGTCGCCTAAGCCAATAGTACTAAGAGAGATGAAGCAGAAATAGAAGGACTCCAGGAAATTCCAGTCCTCTTCCAGTACTGAGAAGATGATGGCAGGTATGAGGAAGAAGCAGGAGATGGTTATTATAGCCAGAAGAGTGGCGTGCAGGGTGGCCAGCAGAGGTTTGGACATGCCCCAGCGCCGGTGTAGGTACTCCACGGGCCTGCGGGTACTGAACTCCATGATCCTCTGGACCATCGCAGTCAGGAACAGCAGGGTGAACGGGATTCCCACCACTGAGTAAATGATGCAGAAGGCCTTACCACCATCCGAGAGAGGAACGGTGTGGCCATATCCTGGAAAAAAAAACACATGAAGCTTTTTGAATAGGTCTTTTCATTTCACAGGTTAATTTTTTTCCTGCAGGTTAAAGGTCATATTGCACAAATTGTATTTGACTGAAATGCATGTACTAAAATATTTTACCCATTTTATATTCTACCAATAATAAAACTGTTCTAGATGATGAGCTTTTAAGAGGACACTGGTTGGGAACCATTGAGCTCCTGTAAACTCCTTAATGAAAACACTGTATTGTGTTGTAATTGTATTTATACACTGAAACAAATAGTGCAGAAACAATGAATTTTCATTCAAAAATTGCTAGTAAATTTCATAATTAGTTACAAAGAAATGGCAAGACATTGAATTAAATATGAAATTTGCAAAACATACTCCAATAATCTTTGTTTTATTTACTTTACCTTCGGGGGAAAAAAATATTTTTTTACAGTCTCCTACATTGTGATTTTCAAGTTGAAATTATGTACAAAGCATAATCGTAACTAAATTTGTATTTAGTTATGAGAGTGGTATATTTGGGGTTTTGGGATATTTGGGATTAGGCATTTGGCTAGTTCTCTGGCTATTTCTGATTGGACATTGGGCTAGTTTTGTTGTGCAGACCTGGCAACCCTGATCACATCTAGCAATTTACTCAATTACCAGTTAATTTGTGTTTTAATTAAACACCATCTTAATCACATAATGAATATTTACTAGAAATGTCAAGGATGTTACCTGTTGTAGTACTTAAATCCTGCTGGATTAAGTTACATAATCATTGGAAACACTACACAAACAGCATGCTTATCCTTCAGACATCCTTCAAAATCACCCACAGCAACGAATTACAAAACCACTAGGGCTCCTTAGGGGCTGTAAATATGTGAGCATGCACTTGTTTTTCTTTATTTGTAAGGGTGTATTAATAAATATAGTAAAATCTCTAAAAAAGGACTTGTAAGGATGATCATCACTATTAGCACAAAACTCAAAAGTGGCCCAATAACAATTGTTATGTTTTATCTATATATTTGGTATTATATTATTGCTACTTTTTTTGCTTATGTTTAAAACATCCTGAGCACTGACTGAAATTTTAATGTTATTGTTATTAATAGTAACTCTATTAATAACAATAACAGCCAATTGCATGACACCGCTGGTCATTTGAAATAATGAAGCCCATTATAAGTAATTTGGTCCATGTAGAATAATATTTTTTTATTACTTTTATCTCATGTGATTGCATATAATTACATTTTACAAAAGTGCAATTCATTTCCTTTTGTAAAGCTTGTTTAATGAGCAAAAAAAGTACTAATAAGTGTCCTTATATATGCAAAATAAATTGTGTCTGAGTCTAAATTCCCACTGTATCTTATTTTATTGAATTTTGTTAAGAAAAATATTATTTGCCTTTATTTATAGTCTGTATTATATGTTTGTACAAGTTCTTGATATATTGCGATTGTTAACAATCAGGCACATAAAGCTTTGTTGACTTTTGAGTCATTATGAAGGGAGGGAGAGAGACAGACTGCTCTAACCCATTAAACACAATAGGCAGGTCTCTTTTCTTGAGTTACATCCTTGTTTAGAAGCATATAGATAAAATACACACACACAGTGCTGTGAAAAGGTTTTTGCCCCCTTCCTGTTTTTTCAAATTTTTTGCATATTTGTCACACTTAAGATTCAGATGATCAAACTAATTTTAATATTACACAAAGATAATGCAAGTAAATACAAAATGCAGTTTTTAAATGATGATTTCTTTTATTAAGGGAAAAAAAGCTGTCCAAACCTGCCTGGCCCTACGTGAAAAAGTAATTGCCCCCTAAATCTAATAACTGGTTGTGCCACGCTTTGCAGTAAAAGCTGCAATCAAGTGTTTGCGATAACTGGCAATGAGTCTTTCACATCGCTGTGGAGGAATTTTGGCGTACTCTTCTTTGCAGAATTGTTTTAATTCAGCCACATTGGAGGGTTTTCGAGCATGAATGGACTGTTTAAGCATCTCAATCGGATTTAAGTTCGGACTTTGGTTTGGCCACTCCAAAACCTTAATTTAATTTTTCTCGAGCCATTCAGAGGTGGACTTGCTGGTGTGTGTTTGGGATCCTTGTCCTGCTACATAACCCAAGTGCGCTTGAGTTTGAGGTCACAAACTGATGGCCGGACATTCTCCTTCAGGATTTTCTGACAGAGTGCAGAATTCATGCTTCCGTCAATTATGGCAAGACTACCACCCCCATGTTTGACTGTTGGTATGATGTACTTTTTATGAAATGCTCTGTTGGTTTTTACGGATGATGTAACGGGACACACACCTTCCAAAAATTTCAACTTTTGTCTCATCAGTCCACAGAATATTTGCCCAAAAGTCTTGGGGATAATCAAGATATTTTTTGGCAAATGAGAGACGAGCCTTTGTGTTCTTTTTGGTCAGCAGTGGCTTTTGCCTTGGAACTCTCCCATGGATGCGGTTTTTGCCCAGTCTCTTTCTTATTGTTGAATCATGAACACTGACCTTAATTGAGGCAAGTGAGGCCTGCAGTTCTTTAGATGTTGTTCTGGGTTCTTTTATGACCTCTTGGATGAGTCGTCGTTGTGCTCTTGGAGTAATTTTGGTTGGCCGGCATCTCCTGGGAAGGTTTGTGGATAATGGCTCTGACCATGGTTTCGCTGGATTCCCAAAATTGATGATCTGAATCTTTTAAGTGTGACAAATATGCAAAAAAAATTTAAAAACAGGAACGGGCAAAAACCTTTTCACAGCACTGTGTATATGTATATATATACTGTAAAAGTTGGGCTGTTTAACTTTTTTTAAAATGCTTTTATCAGAGATCTCAGAGAGGACAGGTCGACCTTACAAATGACATCGCAGCGGCCTCGCTACTCGCTGTCTTCGACTCTTGGGTAAATGATTGTAAAGAAGGACTTTAGGAGGACGGGCCCTTCCTTTTTTTTGTGAACTATCCCTTTAACTCCTCACATTGTTTGAGTTTTGACAGTTTCTTCACTTTAAAAGCATCACTCCACCCTCTGCACAGAAATTACACAGCAGGAGATGATTATCTCAATAAACAGGTATGTGCACATTTTATAGCTAAAGCTGATGCACAATACTTCTCTGAGATCATCAGACTGCTTACGTGGATAGTGTCTACTTGCGTGTCATACTTAGTTCGAGTGGTCAGCTAAATATCTACAGTGGATCTAAAATATTAATAATTAATCATAATTAGTTATGGTTAATTATTCATATTTCCCCATGAGCTGATTCGCTACAAGCTTGTGATTTCCATGTTTAGCCACTTTAAATACAGAGGAAGTTGTTTGTTATGTGTTTTGAATTGTTGGTTTGTACTTTCTGATTTACGAGGCTATCACTAGGCCTACTGTTTAAAGCCATTTTCACTTGCTTATTCCATCATTCAAATAAGGAATGCTATTAAATTTCCATTACTCATTTGTGCCTTAATAATATTTTTCAGATATTGTAAAGACTTGTGATATTTCCTACGTCAACGGGATGCAGAATGAAGATTAATCAGTGGCTTTGTCGACGCTGTTGATCTACAACTGTGCGCATAAAGGAACGGCAGAGAAGCATAAATGCTTCAAAGCTTTCCAACTTCATTTTAGTGCTTCACAGAAGGCCTTTATCTTCCGGGTACTGGTTTAAAGGAAAGACAGATGAAATGTCAATGCATTTCAATGCACATAGGGATTAAATGTCCTGTATGTTCAAAACAAGAACTTCCCAAAATCCAACATGAGGTTACTTCATAAATCAAAGGAGAGCATGTTGTTAGTCTCCACCTAACCTTGTCTTTAGTCTATCATTTGTCTCTTGCATGGCACAGCCTGCTTATATTTTTCACTGTAACCATGGCATAGCCTCTAAGACAGGAAGCGAACATGTGTAGAGCTTTCCAGCCAGAGTCAACATTCTGTCTCAGTGGTTGGCATTTGTGTTTAGTTTGTTTTTGACCATCCCTGGGCTGTTGACCAGTTCCCAAGCTTATGTTGCAATAGTACTGAAATTGAGATCAGGACAAATCTGACAGCTGGCCTCTGTTTGTCTTCCTTTTGTGACGCACAAGCGCCCTGACGCCATGTGCCCGCCAGGCAGCCGCTCGTTAGCCGGGTTGCGTGCTTTGGCAGGAGCTGCCATTCAGTGTCTATGTTCTCAGCTGTACTTTTTGGGGCACGTCATTGATTGGGGCCACATGCAGCATATTTGTGCATAATGTTTCAGGTTGAGTGCAGGAAAAGCCTCCTGGCTCAACAAGTTCTGCGGTTCACCTTGGACATAGGCTGTAGTCCGGACACAAAAAAGACATCCATGCTGGCATCTGGAAAAGCCATCCCTGCCGGCAGGTCCACCCCACAGGGGCTCTTACGCTGGGTCTAGTCCATGAAGAGCTGTGGTAAGCACACTGCATTCTGTAGACTCCTCTGAGAATAAAGTCTGCATTGCCTCTGATTTATATCGTCCTTTTTTAAGGCCATGGCAGAAAACTCAATGAGATTCTTGCATGCACTTTACTGTGCAGTTAATGTTAGTAATACTAAATAAATAATAACTAAAAATGAGAAAATAATTTTTGGAAACGATACAGGGAACCTAGCACAGGGGTTCTCAACTCTGGCCCTCGAGGTCCACTTTCCTGCAGAGTTTAGCTCTAACCTCGATCAAACTCACCTGCTTGTAACTTTCTAGTGATCCTGAAGACCATGATTAGCCCGTTCAGGTGTGTTTGATTAGGGTTCATCAGGAAAATGGACCTTGAGGGCCAGAGTTGAGAACCCCAGATTGAGCATTTTGAATGTTTGAATGGCCCAAAAGGGTAATTTATATGTGAACTGGAACACACTGGTCAATCTGTATGCTGTTGATTCACTAAAAAGATTCAGTTCATAAGAGTCATTTGCTTGTGAATCAGACTTCACAGGTTGCACTATATGTTATTGCAAGCAGCCTGTGATGATAACTCAATAAAAAAACATGTTTTCATTGCCAATATTTCGCTATGCATGTGCTTTTTAATCTCACATTAAATTCAGATATGATATATGACTTGTGTCGTAGCTGTAGATTTAATAGTGATTTAGAATAGCGCATGGAGGCCGCCACTGAAGCACAAGCAGTGCACAGTGTAAAAGATTGAGCTTGAAATGTTATCGATATCGACATTCAAAATGTGTTCAAATAAAGATTTTATGGAGCTCCTAAGGGGGCATGGTGATGAAAAAAAGGACACAAGAAGAAAAATTATTATTCAATGCTTTTGTGTTCTATTGCAAAAGTATTGCATTCCCCCAGGAAACTCTTGCAAAACACAAAAGCACTAAAATATTGTTGTTCCTGCGACTGCATATTATTTTCATCACAAAAGTTTTGGAAGCTAATGCAAAAGCATTGAAATATAATTTTTCATCCCATCTAAAAAAAAAATTACCATCTCCACATCCCTTTAGGGGCTTCGATTGGGATTAATCTAAAAACTGATATTTTTATCCAGTCCTACCTATAATATCTGACTACTGGCTTTTGAATACGTCAAAGAAACATATTTGAAAAATGAAGGAGAAAAAAAATAAGAGGCTGAATAATTTTACATTTTTAAACGGCAGTAGTCCACAGAGATTTGCCCATGAAGTTAATAACAACACTTTGAGAGCCTGCTTTATGTAAAGCTTTCCTAATTTAATCTGCCACCTTCCTTCATGACCTCAACACCATTTTTTGGTGTTTTGAGTGCAGAGCTAATCAGCTTCTCCTCGCAGACAGATGACTGGCTTAGTACACACAAATGTGAAAGTGGCTGCTGTTTGAAATGTGCTGATCTTCCTCCATGAGCTCATCTCATGGCCAGCATATGACAATGTTAATATCCTCTTGATCTACCCTGAATCATACATCATCAGTTTGCCATGCCTCTGTACGACAACTGAAAGGATGCATCTGTAATTTGCTCTGAAATGAATACTCGGTCCTGTGGTTTCAAAACATTGAAACTGGCACCCTTGCAGCATTAATTCGTGTTTATTTGCCTGCCAATAGTGAAGTCAGACTGGTGTCTTTAATTAAGTTGTTTGCACTCACATTAAATGCATTTAAAATAAGTGTGTTACCTTTGCAGATGACTTACACCTCTATGTGAATGAATGAAACAGACAGGTTTCAAGGAACCACATTTTTCCATGAGGAGATTTTTGGAATAAACTGTTTTAAATAATAAAAAAAGTGTGAACGGCATGTATTTCAACACTAAATCTTGATGAAGATCACTCTTAAATTGAATGAAGGCTAGTGTTGTTTAGATGTAAACATAAGAAAGCAATTTTGCTTACAAATTGTTGTTTTACTTTAATCCAAAGGTATCTCCCTTCCCCCTTTCTGGTTTTATATCTTATACAAAAAAATAGTCTACCTGTCAGTAAAGTATGATTATTGAAGGTAATTAATGATGATTGGTCTTTGTTTCTCTGCTTTTTCTGAAGATGCTTAGATAACGTAAATTAGTTTAGACGTTTCTGGGTCAAGATATTTGTTTAACTGGCAAAACTGTTGTGATATGTGCAAATGTTTGCTTGAAATAGCCTTAGACCTATAGGACAAATATGCAGATGAGTAAGCCAATGTAATTAAGCATGTAATGACAATAGAGTATGATTAGTGAAAGCTCAACCATTGTTGTGACAGTTCAGTTCCTCTTGCTCTATGGTGTCTTCAAAACAAGCTGCTGTTTTTGGCCACAACATAAGTATATGTTAGAAAAACCATTAGAATCACATAGCAAAACATGTTATTTAAACAAGACATGTAGTCTGCTAACTAGTCACTATAATATCTGCCAAATTTAAGACAACCGATTTGTTTTTGAATAAATGTTCACCTTTGGTGAGCTTATAGGATGCAAAATAATGAAAAAGATTAATGTTTAAAGCTTAATTGATAGACTGGACTCTTGTAGATTATTGTGGTGTTTTTATTAGCTGTTTGGACTCTCATTCTTACGGCACCCATTCACTGCAGAGGATCCATTGGTGAGCAAGTAATGTAATGCTAAATTTCTCCAAATCGGTTCCGATGAAAAAAACAAACTAATCTACATCTTGGATGACCTGAGAGTGAGCAAAATCTCAACAAATTTTCCTTTTTTTGAGTGAGCTATTGCCTTAAGGTAATCTTAAGAGACTTAAAGAGTCTCTGTTGTGTTCTTTCCAGGAAAACCTGTTTGCTAGATTACATCACTTTATTGTCTTTTACTTTATGTAATCACTGCATCTTTTATGTGGTCACTGCTGTCAATGATTGTTTTCTGGACAACTGTCAGATCAGCAGTCTTCCCCATGATTGTGTAGCCTAGTGAACCAAACTGAGAGACCATTTTGAAGGCTCAAGAAATCTTTGCAGGTGTTTTGAGTTGATTAGCTGATTGGCATGTCACCATATTCTATGTTGTTGAGATAGTGAATTGGTGGGTTTTTGTTAAATGTGAGCCAAAATCATCACAATAAAAGAACCAAAGACTTCTAAAAGTGCATTTATTTAATACACGAGTTTCACAATTTGAGTTGAATTACTGAAATAAAATAACTTTTCCACGACATTGTAATTTATTGAGATGCCCCTGTAGAAGTTTGTAAACTTTAAAACTTCACACCCACTTCACATTTTAATGAACTTTGCAGGTAGTCATTGTGGGTCTTGAGAAGTAAAGCTCTGCTCAGATGACTGCATATTAACGTTCAACAACAGCACTGGACTCACCGTGACCCATTAGTCTTCTGCATTTTACCCCTGCTGGAACAAGAATGACAACAGCAGGTACGTTCAGACTGGACATTAATCATAACAAAGGAAGATAGTGTAAACAGTCCTTTCTGCTTTCGCAGGATCGAACATAAAGATCCAATGGGGAACTCCAAACAGCAACTCAGGTAAGTGTCCAGTTTTCATAAAAAGTTCAAATGACTTCTCATGATAATTGGTTTCTTTTTCCCTTGCAGGGATATGGATATAAGGACGGATGAACTGCAGATGGCAGAAGGGCAGGTAGGGGAATCCGGGTAAGTGCTTCAGATGAGTAGACGGGTTGATGTTCACCGAAACTCCAGAAGATATCAAACTTCACCATCCATATACAATGTCTCCTTCAGTTTGCAGGTAGGTAGACTGGAGAAGTGAACAAACACAAGGTTGGACGATTGGAGAAACTGCAACGAGATCATACAATTGTGATGTGACTGGTGACAGTTTAAATAGCGTGGGGGAATGAGGTGATCAGTTACAGGTGTGCTGATTGGAGACAGGGTGCAGGTGTGAACCAGACGGGCTGCTGGGAAATGTAGTTCTGGGCTGGTGACTGAGCTGGTGAGAGGGATGGTGACTGAGAATGTGACAGTACTCCCCCCTCCCCAAAGGCGTGTCTTCACACCGTAGCGGGACCATGGTGGAGAAAGGGGGAGCCATGGTAGAGCAGACAAGGGCAACTGGGAATGGCACTTCTGGCTGAAACTAGGGACCTGGATCCACTGGAACTAGGAACGGCACTCCTGGCCGTGACAAAGGAACTGGATCCTCCGGAACTGGGAATGGCACTTCTGGCCGAAACTGGATCCACTGGAACTATGAATGGCACTCCTGGCCGAAACTGGGAAACTGGGGCTGGAGCCGACACTGGCGCGAGCTCCGGGGGGCGCTCTCGGGCAAGGAAGAGGGCCCTGAGCCAACCATTTCTTCCCACCCTCCTCTTCTGGTTACGGGTGAATAGAGCGACTGGTGAACTTGAGTGAGCAGCGGCCAGTGGGCTTGACATGGGCTCCCAGTTGAGCTCTGGAGAGCATTCTGGGATAATCTCAGGCACAGTACTAGTGTTAGGGACTGGGGACTTCACTGAACATTGGTCAGGGTCCGAAATCACGTCTTGCCTGTGCATTGCTTTAGGGGTCAGGTTTGGGGGGATTTCTTGTGTAGATGTAGAAGTGGTAAGTAAACTGGAATGATTGGGAACTTGAACACAACTTGAAGGTGACTTATGGTTGATACAGGATTCTTGGACTGCTCTAAGGCTTGGAGTGGGTTCTGGCTTGGAGACAGGAACTGGACAGGGTTTCGGAGCAAACAGGGATTGGAACAGGTTCAGGAACTGATACAGGAACTTGAATGAGCTTAGGGTCAGGGTTACGGACAGAAGTTGATTCTGGAGTGAAAGGACAAACAGAAACAGTCTCTAGAGAGGCAGAATGAGATCGATGGACAGTGGTTAGTTTCTGTGAAGGTTCTTGGCTGACAGGTGATAACTTTGATTCTGTGGTCATGATGGGTGAGGACTTAAGGTCAGTGGCCACTTCACCTACGATGAATGTTGATTCAGCTATCCAGAGGTCGAAGTTGATATAGGACTCCAGCGTCCAACACGAATCGGCCCTGGGCATTACGAACCAGATCCCGTCGTCAAGCCCGATCCAAAAGCCCTCTGCTGCCCAGGGAATGCAGTTGATGGACTCTTGGACGTAATTCTCGAGTTCTGCTGGGAAATGTAGTTCTGGGCTGGTGACTGAGCTGGTGACAACATCTGAACCATCTCTACACAAACAATATAAAATTGAAAAACCTCAGGGGTACTGGCTTGCCGTTCTAGTTGGCCTCCAAAAATGGACAACTGATGGGCCATTAGCATGTGCTTTTCAATATATTAAGCAGCAAAATTTTTTCAACACTGATAATTATAAGAAATGTTTATTGAGCAGCAAATCAGCATATTATAATGATTTCTGAAGGATCATATGACTAAAAATTCAGCTTAGCCATCACAGGAACATATTGCATTTTAAAACATATTTAAATAGAAAACATTTATTTTAAATTGTAATAATATTTCACAATATTAATGTTTTTAGTCTATTAAATAAATACAGCCTTGGTGAGCATAAGAGACTTCTTTCAAAAACATTAAAAATACATCTTACTCACCCCAAACTTTTGAACAGTAGTAAGTATCCCAATTTTTTTTAAATCATTGTAATTTATTGAGATGCCCCTGTAGAAGTTTGTAAACTTTAAAACTTCACACCCACTTCACATTTTAATGAACTTTGCAGGTAGTCATTGTGGGTCTTGAGAAGTAAAGCTCTGCTCAGATGACTGCATATTAACGTTCAACAACAGCACTGGACTCACCGTGACCCATTAGTCTTCTGCATTTTACCCCTGCTGGAACAAGAATGACAACAGCAGGTACGTTCAGACTGGACATTAATCATAACAAAGGAAGATAGTGTAAACAGTCCTTTCTGCTTTCGCAGGATCGAACATAAAGATCCAATGGGGAACTCCAAACAGCAACTCAGGTAAGTGTCCAGTTTTCATAAAAAGTTCAAATGACTTCTCATGATAATTGGTTTCTTTTTCCCTTGCAGGGATATGGATATAAGGACGGATGAACTGCAGATGGCAGAAGGGCAGGTAGGGGAATCCGGGTAAGTGCTTCAGATGAGTAGACGGGTTGATGTTCACCGAAACTCCAGAAGATATCAAACTTCACCATCCATATACAATGTCTCCTTCAGTTTGCAGGTAGGTAGACTGGAGAAGTGAACAAACACAAGGTTGGACGATTGGAGAAACTGCAACGAGATCATACAATTGTGATGTGACTGGTGACAGTTTAAATAGCGTGGGGGAATGAGGTGATCAGTTACAGGTGTGCTGATTGGAGACAGGGTGCAGGTGTGAACCAGACGGGCTGCTGGGAAATGTAGTTCTGGGCTGGTGACTGAGCTGGTGAGAGGGATGGTGACTGAGAATGTGACAGTACTCCCCCCTCCCCAAAGGCGTGTCTTCACACCGTAGCGGGACCATGGTGGAGAAAGGGGGAGCCATGGTAGAGCAGACAAGGGCAACTGGGAATGGCACTTCTGGCTGAAACTAGGGACCTGGATCCACTGGAACTAGGAACGGCACTCCTGGCCGTGACAAAGGAACTGGATCCTCCGGAACTGGGAATGGCACTTCTGGCCGAAACTGGATCCACTGGAACTATGAATGGCACTCCTGGCCGAAACTGGGAAACTGGGGCTGGAGCCGACACTGGCGCGAGCTCCGGGGGGCGCTCTCGGGCAAGGAAGAGGGCCCTGAGCCAACCATTTCTTCCCACCCTCCTCTTCTGGTTACGGGTGAATAGAGCGACTGGTGAACTTGAGTGAGCAGCGGCCAGTGGGCTTGACATGGGCTCCCAGTTGAGCTCTGGAGAGCATTCTGGGATAATCTCAGGCACAGTACTAGTGTTAGGGACTGGGGACTTCACTGAACATTGGTCAGGGTCCGAAATCACGTCTTGCCTGTGCATTGCTTTAGGGGTCAGGTTTGGGGGGATTTCTTGTGTAGATGTAGAAGTGGTAAGTAAACTGGAATGATTGGGAACTTGAACACAACTTGAAGGTGACTTATGGTTGATACAGGATTCTTGGACTGCTCTAAGGCTTGGAGTGGGTTCTGGCTTGGAGACAGGAACTGGACAGGGTTTCGGAGCAAACAGGGATTGGAACAGGTTCAGGAACTGATACAGGAACTTGAATGAGCTTAGGGTCAGGGTTACGGACAGAAGTTGATTCTGGAGTGAAAGGACAAACAGAAACAGTCTCTAGAGAGGCAGAATGAGATCGATGGACAGTGGTTAGTTTCTGTGAAGGTTCTTGGCTGACAGGTGATAACTTTGATTCTGTGGTCATGATGGGTGAGGACTTAAGGTCAGTGGCCACTTCACCTACGATGAATGTTGATTCAGCTATCCAGAGGTCGAAGTTGATATAGGACTCCAGCGTCCAACACGAATCGGCCCTGGGCATTACGAACCAGATCCCGTCGTCAAGCCCGATCCAAAAGCCCTCTGCTGCCCAGGGAATGCAGTTGATGGACTCTTGGACGTAATTCTCGAGTTCTGCTGGGAAATGTAGTTCTGGGCTGGTGACTGAGCTGGTGACAACATCTGAACCATCTCTACACAAACAATATAAAATTGAAAAACCTCAGGGGTACTGGCTTGCCGTTCTAGTTGGCCTCCAAAAATGGACAACTGATGGGCCATTAGCATGTGCTTTTCAATATATTAAGCAGCAAAATTTTTTCAACACTGATAATTATAAGAAATGTTTATTGAGCAGCAAATCAGCATATTATAATGATTTCTGAAGGATCATATGACTAAAAATTCAGCTTAGCCATCACAGGAACATATTGCATTTTAAAACATATTTAAATAGAAAACATTTATTTTAAATTGTAATAATATTTCACAATATTAATGTTTTTAGTCTATTAAATAAATACAGCCTTGGTGAGCATAAGAGACTTCTTTCAAAAACATTAAAAATACATCTTACTCACCCCAAACTTTTGAACAGTAGTAAGTATCCCAATTTTTTTTAAATGTAAAAATTGTTAATTATTATTATCCCTGTATATGTAAATATTTAAGTAAAATAAACTGAGATTTTCCCTTGTGCTATTTGTGTCTAGAAGAAGAAGTGGAAACTATTTCTGGCCTGTTCTGTTCATAAATTTCAACTACTTTATTTCTTGCATTTTATCACTTTATTTATATATTTCTGTCATTATGGTTCTTTTTCGTAATGATGAATAAGGTAATAAAGAGTGAGATGCAATAATGCCTTAAAATGTATTTAGATGAACAGTAAAGGCAAGATGTCTTAAATTCAAACCCTAATCCTAAAATGTTGGCAGATTTATGGCTTTTGTTAGCTTCAGTTCGGAAAATCTCCAATACAAAAGTCAAGAGAACATCTCATACCATAATATTGAGATGGCTTGGACTGAATTGTATAA